AGCAGTGCTGCAGCAGCCAGTATTAGAGAAACAAAAATTAAACCTCCCCAATAAATCCAGGCCCAAAGAGTCTCCTCGTCCATCCCCTCCCAAAGGATAGAGCTGCCCCACATGGTGCCCCCCCTTCACCATACCCACAGCCCCCCCGGGGTGGGGAGCACTGGTGGGAGAAGAAGCCTTTTGCCTTTTCCTGATGGTGGGACTGGGGGGAATGGGATGGGGAAGAGCTGAGCCCCAGGGCAGGGGGCAATGCCATGGTCCTGCCTGTTCCCTCGGTGCAGAATAAAGCCATTTCTAAGGACAGAGGCAGTCACCCCAGTGGGTCCCCCCAGTTGTGTGTCGTGTGTCCCCCCCCCATTTACCCAATTCTCCACCCCCAGCCCGGGATGCCCCTCTCCGGGGAGTGATGGGGACTCCTTTGCCTGATGGCTCCCCACCCCTCTCCTTGGGTGCACCCACCCACCCTACCAGAGCCAGATGAGCCCCCCGGGCCCCCCACCAGCCACTCTCCACCCCCCTCCATCCCTGGGGCCGGTTTGCCTGGGCTGCGGGCAGCAAAGGGTTACACTGGAGGTGCCGCTCTGCTCCCAGGACCTGGCGGGGGAGGGAGCGGAGTTTCATTGAGTCCCCAACAAGACGGGGAGGAGCAGGCGGGGAACCGGCGGGGGAACCGGCAGCAGGTGAAGCCGCCTCCCGGTCCCGGCACAACGGGGTGGGAGCTGCCGGAGCCACCATGGGCCGGGGGGCGGCCCTAGGAACCGGTTTATAAAGGGGGACACCCCCCCCCCTTCCCCTACCTGACGTCCCTCGCTTAAAAAGAAGGGAGGGAAAGGAAAGAAAATCAAAAATCAAAATAAAAATCAAATCTTCCCCCCCTCCCCGAAGCCTCTCCAAATTTGCGGTAACGGCGAAGGCGGGTGGCACCGGCTGGAAAATGCATCTCACATCTCCGGAAAAAAACAAGCGTCCCAAAAGTTCTGTTATTTCGCAGCGGGTGGGCGGGGGGGCCTCGCAGGCAGGGCTGGTGCTAAAGGTACCTAAAAAATCTGCATCCCCACCGTCCCCGGCAGAGCAGTCCTGGTGGAGCTCTGGGGGCATCTCTCCCGCGCCCCCCGGGCTGGGGCAGAGCTCGGGCACAGCCCCCCCCGGCCGACCTCCCCCTCGGGACCCCCCTTCTCTGCCGTGCGAGCCCTTTGCACCCCAGGGACTGTGGCTGGTGGCCCAGCACTGATGGGGCTGCAGCATCTGCCTCCCCCCCGGGCACCCTCCCAGCCCCTCTGGGTGCCCACCACCTGGCTGTGAGGCAGCCCCCCAGCCACCATCTGTGCTTATTTTTGGGTCCACAGCCCCCCGTCTGTGCTTATTTTGGGGTCCAGGGCGGGTTGGAGGCAGAGCCCCCATGCCAGCAGGAGGAGAGTTTCCAGAGGAGCCCGTAAAATCAAAATAAAAATCAAATCTTCCCCCCCTCCCCGAAGCCTCTCCAAATTTGCGGTAACGGCGAAGGCGGGTGGCACCGGCTGGAAAATGCATCTCCCCCGGAGCTGCATCGTCCTCCTCATCCAGGGGAGCATCTCTCTGCTGGTGAGCGATGGGGATGGGGGAGGCTGAGGGGTGGGGGTCGCGTAGCCAAAGGGACAGGGGGAGTCGACAGCCAGGAATATTTCCCTGATCAATTTACCCCCTCCCCAGTTCCATCTCCCCCCCCCCCCAACATCTCCGGAAAAAAACAAGCGTCCCAAAAGTTCTGTTATTTCGCAGCGGGTGGGCGGGGGGGCCTCGCAGGCAGGGCTGGTGCTAAAGGTACCTAAAAAATCTGCATCCCCACCGTCCCCGGCAGAGCAGTCCTGGTGGAGCTCTGGGGGCATCTCTCCCGCGCCCCCCGGGCTGGGGCAGAGCTCGGGCACAGCCCCCCCCGGCCGACCTCCCCCTCGGGACCCCCCTTCTCTGCCGTGCGAGCCCTTTGCACCCCAGGGACTGTGGCTGGTGGCCCAGCACTGATGGGGCTGCAGCATCTGCCTCCCCCCCGGGCACCCTCCCAGCCCCTCTGGGTGCCCACCACCTGGCTGTGAGGCAGCCCCCCAGCCACCATCTGTGCTTATTTTTGGGTCCACAGCCCCCCGTCTGTGCTTATTTTGGGGTCCAGGGCGGGTTGGAGGCAGAGCCCCCATGCCAGCAGGAGGAGAGTTTCCAGAGGAGCCCGTCCGTGGCTGTTAGGGGTGAAGGGCATCTTCCCCCCCGGGGTGAGAACTCACCTCTGAGCTTTGCTGTCCCCTGTCCTGCCCCGCTGCTCCCAGCTCTCTCTTGCCACTGGACCACGGCACAGTTTGGGGTCAGAAGATGGGTCCATGGGCCACGCTGTCAGCAGAGAGACCGGTGTGAAGGCCATGAGGTGGGCATCCCCCCCCATAGCACCCTCTTCCCAGCATCTGCAGAGATGCCCCAGGTGCAAGTGCTCTGCCCTGAGGGAGGTGCCCCTGCCAGGTGGCACCATCAGTGAGGAGAATGCACCATCCCGGCTCCTTCCACCCATTCCCTGAGCAACCATGAGACAACAAGAGCAGGGAAAAATTGCTTGGCAGATGGGAAATATGGACTACAGGGAGGAGTAGAGAGGAAAGGCGAGAGAAAAAGGAAATAAGGAAAGCAAGGATGGGAAAGAGGATGGCTGGGTCATGTCTGGAGAAGTGGGGTGGCTCTGGAGAGTGAGACTGGAAAATGGGGGCACCCATCACTCATCTCTCACTCTCTACCATCGCTATGTTCAGGTGATCTGTGGCCAAGAAGAACCGGGGAAAGGCTCAGAGCAACGTGAACCCAAGACCCAGGAGAGAGCTCAAGCGCAGAAGATGAGAGGGCTGCTCTCTCCAAAGTCCCTGTTAACCCCAACCTTACTGCAGAACACGACCCTCCTGGAGCTGGTGAGCAGCTCGCGGGAGTTATGGGATATCCTGGACAAACTGTCCGAGCAGGACCACGCTCCACACCCCAGAGGACAGAGGGACTTGGGGCCAGCCTCAGGCAAGCTGAAAAAAATTTTTGGCTGGGGAGACTTCTATTCCAATATCAAGACAGTGAAGTTGAACCTCTTGATCACCGGGAAGGTGGTTGATCACGGCAACGGCACAGTCAACGTCTTCTTCCGACACAACTCAACCGGGCAAGGGAACATCTCCGTCAGCCTCGTCCCCCCCACCAAGGCAGTGGAGTTTGACCTGGAGCAACAGATCTTCATCGAGGCCAAAGAATCCAAAATCTTCAACTGCCGCGTGGAGTACGAGAAAGTGGATCGTGCCAAGAAGACCACCCTCTGCACTTACGACCCATCTAAGACCTGCTACCACGAGCACACCCAGAGTCACGTCTCCTGGGTCTGCTCGAAGCCCTTCAAAGTCATCTGCATCTACATCACCTTCTACAGCATAGACTACAGGCTGGTGCAGAAGGTGTGTCCCGACTACAACTATCACAGCGACGTGCCCTACTACCCCTCGGGATGAGGCGCTCTGCCCGTCGCAGGATGCCCCGGTGACGGGCGGGTGCTGGGGGGGGACGAGGGGAGGGAGGGGACGGGGACGGTTTTGTAAGTGGGGGCGGGAGCACGATGGTCCCAGGAACCAGGAGAAGAGGAAGGATTTTTCCATTTTCCCCAAAAGCTCCCGTGTTCAAGAGGAGGAATGGGAGGCTGTGGAATTGTACCGGCATTGCTCCACCTGGATCCGTGGTCTCTGGAGAGTGGGATGGGAAGGCAGGGGCTGAACATGGGATACAGAAAACAGGACACAAAGCCACAGTCAGGACCTGGGTTTCTCAGCGCAATAATGGATTTGCCTGGATTTGGGCCACATGGTCCTAAAAAGGTTGGTGACCCGGCAAAGAGGGCTCCAGCAGGAGGGAAGACCTCGGTGGGGGGGAAAAAAAGGCACCTGATGCCCTCCATGGCTGTCAGATGTCCCTGGGCAGCCACATCGTCTCCCCTGTGTCCGAGCTCTGCAGCACTGGGAGCTGGAGGCGAGTTTTCCCACCAGGGGATGCCCAGGGCTACCAGGATGGGACCGGGGAGTGGGGATGGGTGGGAAGGACCTTCTGGGGTGCCACCCCCGCATTGCTCCCACCGGGCACAGCGAGGGGTTTCAGGGACTCGAGAGCGTGGATCTGCCGGCAGAGAGATCCTGGTGGAATCTGTCCAACCTGCTGACACAATATATGATTCATGTGTTTCCCCTGACACGCTGTGATTCATGCCTTTCCCCTTCATCTCCTCCGTGCTCCGTCTCCCCTGGCTCCCCACCGCCTGCCCCCCCCCTCGCCCGGACACAATCCGGCTCCGTTCCCCAGGGCAAAGGTGCGTGCCCGTGTCCGTACGTGTGTGTGAAGTGGAGCTCTGAGCTGTAGCATTTAATTTACTTTGAAGGAAAAAAAAAAGAAAGGAAAAAAACAAACAAACAACCAACCTCACACTAAAACCACAACAGAAGGCTGTCCTTGAGAGAATAAAGTTTTCACGGTGGCACGGAGGCAGGTCAAGTGTTTTCACCGAGAGCAATTTCAGGCTCCTCAGGGGAGAAGGAAAATAAACCTGGGGTTGTGGTTGAGGCTCCGTTCAGATGCATCTGAGTTTTCCCCTTCCAGTATCTGGGGGGTGGGTCCAGCTTTGGGGGCTGCCAGGACTCAGACAACCCAGACACTGGGTTGCTATTGCTTGTGCCTGGGCTCATTCTGCCCCACGGATGGGAATTTCCAGCCTCCTGCCCTTCCCCACACATCCAGACCTTAAGCTCCCGGACACGTTTATGCGGACACATTCCCTCCTATAGAAGAGACCCCACAAAAAAATATCACCTTCCTCCCCAGCCCTTCATTTTGCCCCAAAACTCCCTATATCCAGAGCACTGGGGCAGCTCCAAAAATCCCCTTACACCAGGAAAACCCCAGCAGAGTTACGGGGCAGGTATTGTCACCAGAGAGGGTTTTATCCTTCAGCCTCCACAAGTCACGTTCCTCCTCTGCAGCCAGGAGGGAGGGAGGGAGCTTTGCCTCCCGGCTGCTGGCGAAGTTTCATGAGATGCACTTTCACATCGAGAGAGAGAGAGGCCGGTTCCAAAAGGCATCGAGCAAAGAAAGCCTTTTAGCACAAATAATCAATGAGAAGACTTTTACTCCCAGAACAGAAAGTTTAAAAACGCTTTGAGAGCCCGGTTTTAGAAAATAACAGGAGCAATATTTGATATTGGGGGGGGAGGAAATCCTACCAGCAGCTCTCTCACAAATCTACGTTCCCCAAGGGTTCACGCTTGCTTTAAGGAAAGAGCACAAAAAAACGGAGTTAAACCCCCTTTCTGCCAGCACAGACAAACCATACAAAACCGGGCCACGCACAAAAAGTTGCTCATTTGGAGAAATTTCAGACAATTGCCATTTGAAGAAACAGAGCAGACAGCGGGAGCGGAGCACCAGGCTCAAAGGATGCACCATTGTCAAAAGTGATGTGGCAGCCGCAGTTACTAGGAGACCAGGACGGGCCATTATTCAGGCTCGGGAGAAGAGGATTCCTGCTAGTGGAGTCACAACCCGTGCTCAGGAAAACAAAAAAATAAAGAAGAAGGATTTCTCTGAGCTGGAGGGCAAACAATACAAGAGGAGGAAAAAAAAAAAATCCCCACACCCTAAATCCCCCAGCCCTTAACCCCCCCCCCCCCCGCAAAAACAGCAGAAA